GTCTCCTCTTTGTAAGGTGCTTCGTAGTCCCCACTCCTGGATACTAAGCTTTGTATATGTGTGTGTTTGTGTGCGACTGCATACTACGAAGCGTTGACTAATATCATCTCGATACTAAATCTGTATGTATATATATTTTTTATTTTATATTTGTAATATATATATATATATATATATATATATATATATATATATATATATATTTGTTTTTATCTATGGCTATCGCATTCGGCATTTTATCTTATTGAATTTGATAGAATTGAATTGATAGAATTTGGAAAGTGATATTTTTTGTCAGCTACTCCCATCCCAAGATCATACCGGTTCCCTTTGATGTAGATAGTAACAACATTATAATAAATAAACCCTACAATTATCTTACTCTTGAAACTGTGCAATCGTCTCATTAATTATAATAATTTATCGCCATAAATAAAAACTTCATACGTGTGAATTTCAATATAACGCAAATATGTGACAATTTTTTAAATATCACTTGAATATGAAATAATGTAATACACGCGTGCGTACGCATATACTCAAACAGCAAATATAAAATAATTAAAAACTCATCGTGCGAATAGTACACACACACGTACAGAGATTATGTATATCCATATTAAATAGAAAATACATATATGTGCAAGGATATAAATACAGTTGTCAAAATGCAAAACGTAATTAAATTCCTGTAGTTAAATGGAAAATTGCATTTTATCTTTCGACTCGAGTTTTATTGGAAAAATATGCGAAAACATAGTGCACTTCCGGAATAAAAGAAAGTAAAGATGAAAAGAGACTGGGAAAGGATAGCAGAAAATAGGAGAATGTAAAGAGAAAAAGGAAAGATTTTCATTGAAATATTATATTATACCGTCTCTTGGAAAAAGAATGAAAGAAAGAAAAATATCGATAATATTTAATATGAATCATGAATGATAGAAAAGAGAATTGCTTTTAGTACCATAAACACGATCGACCCAAAGTAAATAAAATAACAATTAAACTTATTCTATAGATTTTTGTCCATCGCTAAAACTTTAATTTACTTTACATGACATGAAGAAAAAAGTATGCAATATCATCTGACAATTTGATGAAATTACGTCCAATTGATCGAGAATATTTTTTTAATTTTATAAATAACAAAACAATTGAATTTATTCCGTAAATTTTGGTATATCTCTGAAAATAAATAACTTTTCTACATGATGTGATAATATAAAACAAAGTATACAATATTATGAAATATCTAACGTTTTAATTGAAATACCATTCAATTGATTGAAAATTTGTATTTAACATTATAAATGACAAAACAATGGAATTTATTCCGTAAATTTTAGCCAACTTTAAAAAGAAATTGTAATCCTACGTGAAACACATTAATTCAAGCTAAAAAAAAAAAAATATGTAATTATAATTTGACGAATCGATAAAATACAAATTTGATCAACAATATTATTTCTATAACTTCGACGTAATCTTAAAATCTTTAACCCATTGACTGCCAACTACGAGATATCTCGTAGTACCTATGTGCTGCAATTTTAGATTAATTACAAATGGTTATTTGTTTTAAGAATTATTACACAGGTTGAATAAAATATTGATATGGTGTAAAAAACATTACTTATCAATTATTGTAAATATCTCTCTCATTACAATATTATATCAATAACTTGATATTATTATATTTTTAAAAGTTTAAGGGGCAAAACGCTCTAAATATGTCTGGCAGTCAATGGGTTAAGCACAAAACGAAATCAGTAAAACATTATGGTAATAAGAAAAAGATATTGACAAGATTTGTAAAATAAATATCTCATGTTCAAAACATTACCTTTACATCTACGTTTCTAGAAAATAATCAGAATAAGTTTATATCGAAAGATAAAAAAAAAAAAGAAATCGATAGTTTAATATCGTATAATATTCTTGTGTAATTTTCTTTCTTTCTGATAAGTTACGTGTATAGTTATGTAAGTACGTATACTACAATAAATGTATGTATATAAATGAAAAAGAACGAACGTAAAACGTGGAATGAAAACAAGAAGGGAGAAGGAAAGAGCGTAAAAGTGAGATTTACATTACACAACGGATAACGTAATTCATTTTAAATTGCTCGATTCGTAATACCCCGTTGACATAAATGCGACAACGAGTTCTCGTATCGTAATGAAAACTAGCGATGCGAGTAAGCACGCTAGTAGTCAACTTTTTTCTTTCTCTCTTTCTGCATATATTTTTCCTACCTTCCTCTCTCTCTCTCTCTCTCTCTCTCTCTTTTATTCTCTTTTAGTCTCCTACAGTGTGCTGAAATTCACGCCGCGGTTTTGGTTTATTAAATTCACGCGTAACGACAACATAACACGTGAGACAAAGAGAGAAAGAGAAAGAGAGAGTGAGAGAGAGAAAGAAGAAAAATATATTCATGTCTCAAAAGTAACTATTAATTAAAACCACCAACAACCTGCGCCTGTTGGCAGGAAAATTATAATAATTATCAAAGTATAGAAGAGAGGAAAAATATATATCCTACTTGCGTATGTATAGAAGTATATTATATATATATATATATATATGAACATTTTCATCTGGAATTATTATCGGTAAATTTGTTTCCAACTTTAAATTTTACTAACTTTTTACTAACGATCTATTTTAATTATGTAAAATATTTATATAAATGTACACGTATATTATATAAAACTATTATGAACAAAATTATATGTGTGTACTATTTTCTAACTAAAATATTTTATTATCAATAAATTCATACGTGTACATGTAATTTTATATATATATATATATATATTGTTCGGAAAATAGTTTCACTTTTTTCATTAGAAAAATTAAATGACGATTTTCTCATATTTAGAATCCAAATTGTATTGAATGATTGAATTCAATTGAATTTAATTTCTCAGTTATTTTTCGCGTTGTTATGCGACAATTAACATCCAACAGTGACATTTATTTCAGTCTAATTTTTTCAATTGAACAACTTAAATGTGTTACATTTTTCAAATGGAAATTTCCGGAACGAAATTTCAAAAACTAATTTTGACACACAAAATTTTGTTTTCCATTGTACCGCATGGTTACCCTTACGCAATGCTTTTTTCATGGTATAACGCACTGGAACAGCATTTCGATACCTTTTTTCACAATATTTTCGAGAATCACTATAAACTTTTATTCGATTATACGTGTAATGTTTTAACAATTTTATTTTATATTTCATCTTCGGTTGTATATTTGTTTGTTAAACTTAATAATAAACTTAATTTTTATAAGCTCAATGACATAAAAAAAAGCACATAGTTTTAAATTTCATTTAAATGATATTCAAATATAATTTTCTTGAATAAAAAAAGACATTGTCCGTATAGTTATAATAAAAAAAAAAAAATATGACGAAAATGCTCACTATGATTTTCAATTTCTGATACAATGGTGAAAAATATCTATTTGACAGATCAAAATACAAGATGATTCTACATCACGTCTGATGTGTCTGTTTCTAGAATGTTGAATGGTTTTGAGGTTTAGAACAAAGTCAGGTATCGGTAAATGCGACTATCGAGATTTTTATGCGAAAAAGGAAATTACTTTCCGAACAACTATTGTTTGACCAATTTTCTTATTATTCATGTCGAATTATAATGTCTATAAAATATTATTTAATAATTATTAAAATTATATTTCTCTTAAAAATATTCGTTTACAATCAAATTAATGTCAATTTGACAATTGAATAATCTTGCAATTGATTTCTTTGCAGAAGAAGTTTTTAAACTTTGTATTACAAGCAAATATCAATAGCTTCCAATTTACATTGGGAACGGATGTCATTCGTGTGACTTGGTGTAAACGTAAATGTTAAAATTAATAGACGAGATTGGTCATGTTCGAAAAAGCCATAGATTCTAATAGCGGAATGCATTGATCGCGAATATTGCGTATTTCTCGATATAGCCAGACGATATTGGAAAATTCTCCAAGAGCGTTCACACGCTAAGAGAAGATCCGTAATGAAATTTTTGATTCTTTTATTTCTTTTATTTCTTTTTTTTTCCTTTAAACAAGAAAAGAAGACAAAGAATAACGTACAAAAAAAAAGAACAAAATACTTCCCTGCTACGCCATAGTTTGTTAACTTTTAAATATAAACGTTTTGCATAGTTAAATAATTTATAGCCATTAACGAGCGAGGTATGTCGTTTCTTTTGTAAAAAAAAAAAAAAAAAGAGAAAAAAAGAAGCTTTACGCCTTTACATTTTATCCAAAGTTTCTATTATATACACTGTGTGTCAAAAGTTTTAACATTATATTTAAAATCACTTTTGTTCTCTAATCATTTAAGATCATTATTTTTCAAACATTTTTGGTGCATGATATTTTCTCATAAAAATTAAATATTTGTTTAAAATATTAATTTGAAATATTTTTTAAAATAGCAGCGTTCAAAATTAATTTGTTTTCACATTGAAAAAAAACTACCAGGTTAATTAGATTAAAAGAAAAAAAAATGAAAATCTCTGAAAAAATTATATAATAGATTTACAAAATAATTAATCTAAAAAATTGTTGGACTATTAAGAAATTTTTATCCCACCCTATATATACCACCCTGTAAACTATAAATATACTGAAGAATATCAAAGCTGGGAAGCTTGGAAGCTCGGAAACTATGATTGATGGCCATGAAAGAAATGAAAGCAAATTGATGCACCCCCATTAACCTTACGCACACAAACACAGGACTAATATACTTTATCCAAGAAATAAATTCAAACTGTGCTGAGATGTTAAATTAAGTGGTATTTTGTTGTTCTCACATTATCAAGTATGTTGATGCGATTGCTAGTAAATTTCCTTTTGCTATTAGGGTTGTCGTATCATCTAATAAATAAATATTTATCTATGTATCTAACTTGTATACACATACGTGTATATATGTGCGCTCAGAATATTACACTTAAGAAATTTACCTTAACACGTCAACTATGAACTTCGCTTCGTTGACTCAGGAACTTCTCGTCTCGTTTATCCTTCTGATCGTACTTCCTTCAACACTTCCCATACTCTAAAACTTTCCGATGAATTTGTTTCACGATGATTGCTGTAAGTACAAATGAAACATTTGCACTTTAATTATATATATATATATATATATATATATATATTTTGTATTACGTCTATGCATATAATTACAATTGTAATTATTATTTTATACACGTGTATTAGTATATTATGTCCTAACAAAAAATACAAAAATGATATCGTCTGAATTATTATCAACACAAACTACTTGTAACGACAATAGATAAAAGAATTTCTTGGACAAGTCTTATGTACGCTTATGATAGAAAGTTCAAAAGGTTAACAAAGGATCGATGAAAGGATCCAGAAGCAACTCCATCAGAAGGTTTCAAGCTTGTCTTTACTGTCAACGAAAGGAGTATGTAAGATAGTGGAATGATGGCTGCTTCTGATGGTGTTGGTTCTCACTAGCTCAGAATGGAGAATGTTGTTCATAGTAGAATCTCTCTAGGTATATACATGTATAGGGTGTACCAAAAGTTCCTAAAATATTTGACAAGTTAATTAATTATTTTCTAATCATTTGAAGTTAATACTTAATCATTGAATTTTTATGAATTATACTTAATATTTTATGATTTTACATAAGAAATTAGTCTAAAACGTCTTATAAAGGAATAATTAATTTTTCAAATCAACTTGAAAGTTTTGAATCACTCTGTATATGGATATGTACAAGCTTTATACAGCTCGGTGTGCTAGTGCCACGTCATATTTCATCGCTTTCTGTTTACCCTTCTCGTTTGCTCCTTTCGTTTGAGCCAACAAGCTATGAATTTAGGTCTGCCACCGAACTGATCTATCTAAAGTTTACTTGTTTACGTTTTGTTCCTCTCGTCGTAAACGAAACAACATATCGGGAAAAGATGTTATGTATATAAATATTACAATAATTTTTAAATAAATAAAAAAAAATAAATAAAAAAGAAAACGTCGAATGCAACGTATTATAAAAATTACGATAATCAAAACAAATTCTTATTGGTTTATTTTCGTGAATGAAGAAAAGGGAAAAATAAAATATAGTACAGATTAGGATAAACGAGACGAATTTTTCTACATTTATTCTAATGAACGATGAAAAGAGAAATTGTTTAAATGTAAAAAAAAAAAAAAAAAAACCAAAAAGGGAAGATAATAATTTACAAAATTCTTCTATACGAATAAAATAGATGGGAATCAAACTTTTACGAAGAATAATTTTTAACGAAGAATAAAAAAACAAATATTATTATAAAAACAACGAAAGAAAGAGAGAAAGACAGATCTTAATACTTCGTAGAAAAAGATAGACACAGGTGAGAATACTTTAGCGAAGAGAGAGCTCGAGGATTAAATTAATCTTCTTATTTTCACTCCCTCGAATAATCGCTAAGAGAACAATTATTGGTTTCTAGCACGCGTGTAAAAAGAAAGAAAGAGATTTCATCGAATGGTTCCACTTGGAATTAACGGAAAACTTGCAAGGTAGCATAGGAAATCAAAAGAGAAAGAAAGAAAGAAAGAAAGTAAAAGGAAAATCCGTTGGCGGTTCTCTTTTCCTGTCGCGAACCTTCCACGATAAATCGAACGTGCAATCACATTTTTACTCTCATTCCCTCAATCCCCCCACCCCCTTTTATCCACCTCACCATCCTCTTACCTTCTCTTCGATATGGGTATATCCTTAATGAACCAAGCGTTAGACGATTCGAATTCCCGCGCCTCTGGAAAATGCCACGGTATCTGATCTAATCCTCTTATCGAAACTCTCTTTCTACGAATCTTCCCTTCAACCCCTAACTCACCCTTTACTCATCCCTTAAAGTACTTTTCTTCTCGTAAAATAATATTTTTCTTTTTTCTTTATTTTCATTTTTCTCAAGGTATGTCTCAAATTATATATATATTTTAAATTATTTTAATTATATTTGATTGATTTAATTTATTTATTTCGTTTATTTTATTATTCTGCATCCATATTATTTTATTTGAATTTATTCTTTAACATCTCTCGAACTTATATTTCTTTTATTTTAATTGGTTTAGTTTTACAAATCTCGAAACTAATTATAAGTTCTACACATACGTTGAAAGTTCTCGCATTTAAATTTTTGCAATTAATTTGCATTAAAATTTTGCGTATAATTTTATGTTTATAATACTTTAAAAAAAAAAAAAACGAATTTTTCCATTTATACATTATTTTAACCATATTTATTAGCACTATCATTTTAATAGGTAACTTTTTAATCAAAATGTTTGTTTGTTGATTCTTTTAAAAAACATTTTGATTCCATTTAAAAATGATTTATTTGATGTATTTATTATTTTAAGCATTTTTTCTATCCTCCAAAAATAATGGGATTCTGTTATCCAAGAATAAAAAGTGAAAGTAGTATAACAGGTTCATCAATAAGTCGTGTTTAGTCGTAAAACAGAATATAGTTAATGTTTTTTAAACGATCTGAACGATATGAACAAAAGCTTTATCGATTTACGAGCTCATATAGAAGATGAAGAGGAGGATATATGCTTGTCTCCCATAAATATAGTAGATTTCGCGTAACCTTTCGATATCGACTATAAATACGCATTTTATAACTGCCATAGGATTTTAAATGAAAAACAGTCGTCAAAGGCTCATGGGATTACATGCTAGAAGGAACTCTAACTTTTCTTTCTGAACGGATAAAAAGATAAAACGAGAGAAATATAAAGACAAAACGAACCAAAAGTGTATCGATAATTTCAAAAATCAATTAGTAATCATGCGTATTTTATTATATCAATTTGAACAAAAAAATTGGATTAAAAGAAGGATAGAAAAGAAAATTCATTTTTTAAATCATTGAAGTACTTTCAACCCATTTAAGAACTCTTACATTATAACACCCCTATGCGCACGTTCAATTCTTGAAATTATTTCTTGAACTAATTTTTTGAAAAAAAAAAAAAAAAAAAGAGAAAACTATCGATATGTTACGATTAATCATTGAACTTATTTTCTCTTTTTCCTTTGTTTGTTTCAGGTATCACAATTTTTACGAATTCATAAACCACGTTTCGATCAATAATTTTTTTAACCCGACAAGAGATAGAAAACGAAAGAGTGAAATAGAGAAAAAGTACTCTTTCTCTCTCACATTTCGCGGAGAGAGAAAAAGAGAGAAAAAGAGAGAAAAATCTCTCCAGCGTGGGAAATAAATCTCGTTGGTTGCTCTCGGTACCGGCTTCCTATCGTATTAATCGTTTTCGATATTCGATTTTATCATCCACGCCATACTGCTGAAAGAAACGCTCTCGCACAAGAGTGAGAGAAAAAGAGAACAAGAGAATGAGAGAGATGGGACATGGGACATGGGAGAAGTTCCCAGTTTTCACGGCACCCGCGTCCCCCTAACCCCATCTCTATTCCCGAATCCACCCCATTATTCTACGAAAAGGTGGAAGGTAAAAAAATGGAGTAATAATAATTGCCCCCGATGCATTTCCGATCGAGTTTCGCGAGTTATTTTTCCCTTCGGCCATAGCTTCGGCAGTCGATCATATTTATTTAGAACGATACAACATTTCTCTATATGTGTAGTATATATATATATATAGATGTTGAAATTTATATCAGTATATACAACTCAATCGTTACATAGTGTAAGGTAACGAAGGTTTACTACGCGTAGTGGTTTTGAATTATTGAGATTTTCTACAATTTGAGAACGTGATTTTTAGCAAATAAAAATAAAAATGAAAATATAAAAATAAAAATAAAAATAAAAAAATAAATATAAATAAAAATAATAAGTATCAAAAACAATGTGAAATGGTATGCTTTTTCACGAGTACTTTTTGTCAAATATTTTCTATTCTTTTTATGTCCTTTTTGTTCGTGCATATGAATGTTTAAATAAGAAATATTGGTGCATTATCAATGGATATAGTACCAAAAACTATGTAAAAAAATATTTTTTCACGAATAATTTTAGCAAAAAATTTGTAATTTCTTTTTTGTCCTTTTGTTTATGTATGAATGTATTAGTAATAAAAAAGATATGTATTAATGTTTTATTTATTTAAATATAAATGACTAAAAATTCTGATATGATATTTACATTTTCAAAGATGAATAAAAAGATAGACGACGACGATGACGACTTGAAGAAAGAAAAAGAAAGAGATAAAGAAATGAAGTAGTGAAAATATTATTTACACTTTCCTAATCAAACTTTCTAACGAATCGCGATAGAGACCTTGACAAAACTTTCCAACCTCGACGATATCTCTTGGCACATCAAATCTGTACGTAGAGTCGTTCTCAAGAAGAATTTCAAAAGTTTTCGAATATGATGATAAGAAAGAAAGAAAAAGACAAAATATTTTTACGATCTTTACTAGGTAAACATGTCGATCAATCAACATCAAATGAATTGTCGAATTCAAATATTTTTCTAGTAACTTTGACACATTTATATTTAAATACAATCTAGTAACTTATCTTTAAATCTGCGTGTACCTGTATGTATATCCATGTACACGATTATTTTTATTAATAATATAAAATAATTTGATTAGAATAACAATTATTAAATTATTTATTTATACTATACTGAAATAAAGAAATGTCTTTCATTATTCTATAAATTCTGTGACTTATATCTTGTGTTAATGTTAATAAAATATTTAATTAATATAAATTGCTTATAAATTGACCAAAGTAAAAATAAATAATGTCATATTGACGATAGTATTATAGAAAGTAAAATTTGAAGAGATAGGATAAGTTGTTTAAACAACGAAATGATTTTAATCCTCTAAAACTCAACGATTTCTCCATTACCCAAAATAGTCTCAGTGTGTCTTTCGAAAATTCGTTTTCAACGCTCGAAAACTCTTTCCCTCAGAATATTTAATCAACGAAAGAGTAAAATGTAACGCTCAGCGATTTCTGTCTATTTGGACACGAGAAATGTAATTAAGCTTAGCTCGATGAATTTATTTACATTTTCGTATACATATGCATGATATACTCAAATACTATTTATA